ATCGTAGTACGTAGGCTGCGTATTCGACACGTATTAAAATACAAAATATGAAAACCCGTCCCGATTTTTCAGTGCACACGACACAGTTCCAGGGTCATTTGGCGTACCACTTGGCGGCACTCCACGTACCGCTGCCAGTACGTGTACCACAGTTTGAGAACCACTGGTCTACATAGTTTTGCCTAATTTCACAACACAGAAATGTGGCTCACAGTTACTGTGCTATATTGCATTCAGTCACTGCCCTGCATGTTTTCAGCTTTTGTGGCAAGAAATGTAAGAATGAAAGCAATGGGAATAGTTGACTTAATGCAATGTCTGTTTATATAAATATATTTTTTTTTTTATTTAGATAATTTATTACTATTTTTTTTACTAAGTAGTTTAAATAAATGATAATGATATATTGAAAGTGTTATTGGTTTCCACGCTTGTAGTTTTTGTTAATGACATAAAACACCAGAGAAAGCAGTTATTTGGTTCATGTTGTATCCAGGGCACATTTGTCATGTTCTTTGTCCATTGTTATTTTATTGTATTGTCTATTTTTAACTTAGAAGAAAACCAGGCAATCCATTTTTTAACAAAATAACATTAGGGAATTTGATTGTTTTTTAATTGGATTATTGACATTTTATATTGTGTTTAATCATTTTTCAGATGATATCAATGATGAAGAGGACCTTCGAGGGATTATCAGTGTGCCTGTAATTTCAAATGCAGCTCAGCTCCGTGTAAATTCAAATCCAATAGATATAAATCTTGCAAGTGTACGCCTTCAGTTTTTGTCTTTTCTCTTTACTTTATTTTCTTTTTTGTTAATGGACCATTGCTGGAAATTGAAGTGTTTTTATTCTTGAATGTAAAGCTCTGAACAATTATGTTAACCACTGCCTGAGGCAGTGGTGAGGAAGTGGACTGGGAGGTTGTGGGTTCAAATCCCACGTGGGATACAACTGTAAAGCCAGTGATTCATTGCACTTCACTAAGATTTCTCCAATACCATATTTTCTTCACTTTATCACTGTGATGAAGAATTTGTTCTCAATTTTTTTTTAATGGTAAAGCATTTAAAATTAAAGCATTTAAGCTTAGATTTATAGAAATCAGCTCAATTTGTAAACATTTTTTTACACAGTTACTGTATTGCATTTTTTTTTATTTCAGGACCTCAAGGGACTTCTGTTTGGTTCCAGTTTGAATTGTTTCAATGAAGAGTGGAAGGCTCAAAGTTTTACATTTTCTGAGATTCCCCAGCTGAAATACGGCATTGTGCAGAAAAAGGTAATTCAGTGTGATTTATGTGGATATAATTGGTTTTCATTGTATTACTTTTATTTAGTTACAGGTTTACTTGACCTGAATGTGTTGTTTTCATGTTTATAATTTGTCTCCAATCCAGATACAGTACATTACAATAGGTTCAACCTACTGAGTTGATAAAAATGTACATATTTACAAGAATACTATATAGTATTTTAGAATAATACATAATATTAAGTAAGTTTGAACTGCCATTTTTTGTTTATCTTTACAAGGAGCACTACAGTTCCTAATTTATATCAGTGATCTGCACAAACAGAATTCAAAAAGTGAGAATATATAGGATGGACCAAACACCTGGCAAATAACACTTAATATAGAGACATACCGGACATTATAAACAGCAAAAACATAAACTGTAAGTCAAAATGGAAAATGGAGACTTTATGAAAAAATCTTTATTTTGTAAATATTATTTGCATCAGCCTTCAAGATAATGAGGGAAAGCAATTAAAAAGTTAAACAGTCAGTAGTGAAACATGAACCAGATTGCACAATTAGAAAATATGTAAAAGTGCATTTAAAACTAAGAACAAAAGGCCCTTTTTTACACTAAGAATTGTGGGACTACAGAACAAGGTACCCAGCTGTGTAGTTGAAGCCCATGCTTTAGCTGTGTCCCAATGTGCAAATTGCGATCTTGCGCCGTTCGCATGTGCATTTTTGCTCATGTCTGCAAGGTCTAAGGGTGTCCCATTTCTACATTTGTGTTCCACAAGGGTGTTCATGGGTGCTCCCAATGCGCCCCTATTGCACCCTTCTCTGAAGTTCGCATTGGAAGGGAATTACCCCCAACTCTTTGCGGAATGGTGACGTTTCATGTTCTAGCCATTCAAGCAGGAGAGAAATTGCCACAGAGAATACAATATTATATTGTTAGTTAAATGTTTTACAGTTTTAAAACTCATTTTATGCAAAAAGAAATTTGCATTAGGCTACTTTAGATTCATACTGTATGTATTCTAGGTATGAAGTTTTGACATAAAGCTTTTATTTTGTCATCCGATTTCAACAGATGAATATTCGTTTACCCGTGGTTTATTTTGTACTTTGAATACTTAATAGTCCACATATTTAATAGTACAAAGCTTTGAGGTTTACCTTACATAATTTACTTTGAATGTGAATTAATGTATTATGTCATGTTTGTCGTGCTGTCATTTTTGTACTAGTGATATGAAATGTATTTAGTAATACAAAGCTTTGAATAAACAGTGGTATTGCCAAGTTTTCCTTAGTTTACTTTGCCTGTTTTGTGTCAAGGCTGCAAAACATAAATGAAAACGATATGTCATAACTTTTGTGCAGGGATAGATGAGATAAAATTCAATTTTGTCAAACTGCGAATGGAGGCACTTAGCATGAGGGTTTTTCCATTGCCCTTCTTATAATGCTGCACCTTCAATTACTTGTGCGCTTTAAGTCCACATTTGTGTTACTTCACAAAAGTGTGGACTTGGAGGAAGGGCTTAGGGTGACAGTAAGGACACGGCCCTTGTCTTCTTTTAAGAAATGGCCAGATGTGATCCTTGGATCGGTTACCTTTGGCTACTACCAAAAGGATTAGATGGGCTGAATATTTTCTTAAGGTTTATATTTCTAATTTCAGTGTTTTCTGATACACAGTAGTGTATAAGGTAAAAAAAAATAATTAAGCTTCAATGGCACGGCAACATTCCCAGTCATGCAGATTTGAAGTATAGTGTTTCAGCTGTTTCTTTAGCTGGATTTAGCAGCTCTAGTCAAGTTTTCTACTACTTTCCTAGTCTTCTTGGATTTCTGACGGAATAACTTCCTAATCAATCTAGCAGTCGCCAATACAACTTCCACTTGAGAATTACACCTACATTCTAGCCTTTAGAGCAAGACCAGGACTCCTAACCTTTCAAACAAATCCACTAGTGAGAGATAGTTGTGCTCCTCTCCTCCTGCTCCCCTTCCATAACCTTGAGCAAAACCATTCCTGGAGAGTGCTCCCTCGATGGTGTCTAGAAATGACCAATACCTCAAAATCAAACTTTTCTAGCCTTCCCAACTGAAGCATTGCCATAACCCCATACTATCACTGGGCAATACCCAAGAGAGAGACTGTTGTTAACTGGGTGAGTCTCACCATGAGCTTCTTTCAACCAATTTAAAGAGATTACCACTAACAGGTTCAGGACATGTTGCGACCATATACAAATTAATGTTCCTGCACCATTCTCTTTAAAACCCTAAACCCTAAATGTGATTTAGATCACATCATGATATAAAAACCCTTCTGACATGCTAAAAGTAATAAAACCCTAAAATGTGATGGCTGCTCTGTTACAGTTATAAAGTTAAACTGTCATAATCTATGGCAAGATATAAGCAGCTATGCTAATAATTATCAGAAAATATTTGACATATTTTGGGTATAACAAATGAGAGCATGCCATTTGGCTTATTTTGTATGTGGTTGTTTAGTACTGTATCTAAGCAGTCCTAAAATGTCATCCAGGCACTTTTATAAAAATATCCAGACTTTGTACCTGAACCACCTATCTGATAAACTAAATGTTTAGACACCAGCAAATCTTTATGTAAAAATGTTTTTCCTTTTCCCCATTTCTAAATCAGTTAAAAAAATGTGCATGGGTCATGTCTGTTCAATAAAGTGTCAAAGCACCTGTTGCAGAAAAAAAGTCCCTTTCCTATTAATAAAATTGAGAATATGTTTTGGTTATAAGTGAAAAAAATATTTTGATGCTTACAGTAGTATATACTGTATATGGATCAATTTTGTTCTCAATCTCCTTTGTTCTGTGCTGAAGAAATGTTGTTCCTTAAACCTGTACAATCTCATGAGAACCGGAATCATTCTTGCGTTCTTCTTTGAAGTCTTTCTAAGACTATAACATCCTCTTTGACGTCTAGTGACTAAAACTGGAGACAGTATTCTAAATTAGCTGTTAGTGAAGGATTGTAAACCCTGAGCATAACTTCCCTTGATTTAAATCCCACACTTTCTGCATACCCAGATATTGTATTAGCTTTTTTATTGCTTCCCTGTATTGTCATGATAAGGACATAGCAAAATCCACAAACACCCAGATCCCTTTTCATGCATAGCTTCCTGCAACTCAGAAATGTTCTGACATCTTGCTTGATCACTTTACTCTTGTCAACATTAATTGTGATTTGCCTGTTGTCTACTCAATCTATGATTTTGCCTGACTCTTTTATAAGTCCCCTGCAGCTACTTCTGTTTACCACTCACATATTTTGTATAATCTGGAAGTATGACTAATTTTCTAAGTATTCTAGAATCTGAATTATTGATATTCATTATTATGAGTAATGGGTCCTAGCAAATCCCTGCTGTACACCATTGCCAATTATCAGCCTAATTGTGCCACATAAAAGAATTTCTTGATTTGAAGCGGTTCTCAATC